TAACTCAAGATCGCAATGCGCCACCAATGCCATAATAACTCTAAAGGAGTCCTTTGAAAAGACTGGAGAGAAAGTTTCTTTATAATCGATACCTTTTTCTGTGTAAATTTCTTGGCGACAAGACGAGCATTGTATCTTTCCACATTGCCTTTTGAATCCCTCTTGATTTTAAATATCCATTTACAACCAATGGATTTCGCACCTTCTGACAATGGGACAAGATTCCAAACATCATTGTCCTTCATAGATTTAATCTCATCATTCATGGCATTGATCCACTTTTGAGAATTTGAACTTTTCATGGCTTGACGGAAGTTGATTGGATCATCTTCCATCAATCCAATATCATTCTTATGTTCTTGGAAAAAAACAATGTAATCATCTGGCACTGTACTTCTCCTTTCTTTAGTAGATCTTCTTAATGGCACTAGTTCTTGGAGAGAGAAAGTTTGAACTTCTATAACAGTTTGTTCTTCGACATTATCTTGATTTGTCATGTCATAATCTTGTTCAAGATTAGGATCCTGAACAAGATCAATGACACCTGTGGGAATATTAATATATTTCTCTTTAAAGACAATGTCCCTTACTGTATTTTCTCCTCCAAACTCGACATTCTCAAAGAATCGGGCATTTCCTGTCTCAAAAATTGATTTAGTTGCGGGATCATAAAACTTGTAACTTCTGGATCTTTCAGAGTATCCAATAAAATAACAACTAACTATTTTTTATTCCAGTTTCTTTTCATTTGGCCTGTAAGGCCTTGCCTCAGGTGGACACCCCCAAACATGCATATGCTTTAAATTGGGTTTTTTTCCTGCCCAAAATTCATAAGGGATTTTGATAGTTGCTTTAGTTGAAACTCTATTAAGGATATATGCTGCAGTTTTAAGTGCTTCACCCCAGAGTGACCCTGGTAAGGTAGAAGTTCTAAGATGTCTGAGAACCTATTGGTTTCAGATCTCCTTTTATTAGTTTGTTTCCCCTTTATACAGTTAATACAATCATTAAAATCTGTAAAATTTAAGGGGTCGAGAATTTCATTTAACACAAGCCTTTCCATTCTCCGTTTGGAGATATGTCCCAATCTCTTGTACCATAATGCAGATGAATTCTCATTGGTTAATTTTCTCTTTATTCCTCTAGTACTCAAATGCAGAGATTCATTAAATGAGATAATCGTATCAATTAAATATAGATTATCGTAATGCATTAAAGAACCAGAACCAACCAATTTTGAATCATGAAACAATTCAAAATTTTCATTTCCAAATGAACAAAAATAACCAAATTTATCCAAAGCAAAAATAGAAATTAAATTCCGTCTAAAAGACGGTACAACAAATGTCTCATAGAGATCCAAATAAAATCCGGTTTTTAACAGTAATCTAAAATTTTCAATTGCCTCAACTCGAACTGTTTTGTCATCGCCCACATAGATATATCTTTCATTATCATTAGACTTTCGGCAATTCAGGCAACCCTGCATAGACACACTGATGTAAATTGTTGCACCAGAATCTAACCACCATGTGTGTCTAGGTACCAAAGTTAAATTAACCTTAGAACAAACCAAATTAAGAAGCATACCTTTCTTAGCACGCCAAACGTGATAGTTGGTGCAATACTTCTTTTGATGCCCTTCAACTCCACAAAAGAAACAACTATTCTTTCCCTGATCATCTGATTTCTTTTGTTGTTTCTTTTGTGGCGCTGTACCTATAGCTCCTTTTTCCTTTTTTCTCTTAAGTCCCTTGTTTTTATTATTAGTGGTTGACATTAGATGAGCACTTTTTGTTTGCTCTTGCTTCAACATTTTCTCTTCCTCTACACAGTGTGAGATGAGTTCATTTAGAAATCAAGTCTCCTTTTGACAGTTATAACTCACTTTAAACTGGCTAAACTGTGTAGGAAGAGATATTAAAATCAAATGCACTAGTAACTCTTCAGAGAGTTTCAACTTAAGTGCATTTAATTTCGAAACAATATGAGACATCTCCATGATATTACTTTTATCACTATATTTCATTGAAACTAGGCGTGTCAAGAGTGTACTAACTTCAGTTTTTTCGTTCTTGACAAACCTTTTTTCAATGTCCTGAAAGAACTTTTTAGCAGTTACAGTCGTTTCTGACATTGTTCCCCTGAATGCTTCTGGAACGGCCTTTTTAATGATCATCAGACGCAAGCGATTTGATCTCTCCCATATTTCATTATTTCTCTTTCCATCAGAGGTACTTTGATCTGTAAGAGGTGGGGAAGAATCAATTCTTAATGCAAGGTCGAGATCCATTATTCCAAATACTATCAAGAGATTTTCTTTTCAGGACTTGAAGTTTATACCATTCAGAATAGGAATATTATTGATGTTGGAAGTAATATTTGTAAGATCATTTGCAACTGAACAGGAAACAATATCAAATAATTAAAACTATGCTCACATAAGCCAAAAATAATAATAAATTCAAATAAAGGTAATCCCATCTCAAGATACCGATATTCCATTAATATTTCGTCTTTGGACAAAATTATTAACTTCTGAGTGATATCTTGGTACAGTAATAAATACTGATAATAATAAATGTCGAAAATAAATTTTCCTTTAGGCCAATTTATAAATCATATGTAAAATTCAAATAATTATCACGTATTTATTACCATAAGTTTACATGTAATTTCATTAAATATTGACCTTCCTTTGGGCCGATCAATATTCACAAAATTATAGGTACCAAACTAGTTATTTTTTAAAATAAATTAATTTCCATAATAAAGGTCACTTTGGTGGCATATTATTTCAATTAATTTATTCCAAAAAATATATATATTCATACCAATATTCAAATTTAAAATTATCCAAATTCAATAAAAATTTTTGATCAAAATCAACTTTGGTTAACTCTAATCAACCAATCAATTGGATCAAGACTTACTGGACCAGAGGTCCATATCCATAATTTGACCCAATTTATTATTCAAGCCCAAATTTATTTTTTTTTAAGCTCATAATGTCTTATAAAATTATATATTTAGTGGGCTAAACATATGGATTTTAATAGGACTTAAATATCTTATCTAACTTTATTAGGGTTCACTTAAATTAAAGAAACCCTAATTTCTTTAACATATAAATATATGCAAATTCTCTTATACAAGAAGGCAAACCAAAATAAAATACTAATTATGATTGAATCAAAACATGACAAAACATGTACCCAAGATTTTAGACATAAACCATGTAATCTTAAAAATAAAATCAACAACACAATTGGATCCTTAAAGATCTCTAAAGATAAAGAGAAAACAAATTGGGACAGTCATTAGATTTCCTGTTCCTTGTTTCGGAATTCTCCAGGATGCACCAAAACAGATCCTTAATAAATAGTGCATAAGTTGGGGAACTCAAGTTATAAGTCCTTTTAAACTCAAGTAGAAGTGTGAACTCACGTCCAATTTTGGGCAAAAGTTGATGACTGGATCAACTTTCAAGACAATCATGCGTACACTCTATCGAAGCATTAAATTCGACGGCAACTTTATGAATAGGACAAGAACTTTACCAAGCATTGCTTATTTCGTGAATGACCAGACGACGACTTTTACCAAGTATAAGCAATTAAATTGCCGCAATCCAAGATTTGCCGAGCGGCGCCCAATCAAGATTAAAAAAAACAATAATAATAATTGTAGTTACATAACGAAGTGTCTTATCAAATCTGTATTATTTCCTAATAACCAATCATATAGACTCTGATACCACTTGTTTGGGTGATTATCTAAATTAATCTTTGGTGAAAGCCATCACTTATAGAAGCTCTTAAGTCTCTACACATTAAAGACCCACACCTTATTAGATACATTAAATCCAAACTATATTTGATCATTTTAATTGGGTTTAACCTTAATTGACAGTTTGCAACACATAATTATTCACATATAAGTTCAATGTTGGATTAAGGATCCAACATTTCCTTGTTGGCTTCTGCTGCGCTCTTTCGAGCCTTGGCCGCTTCAGCTTTGGCGTTTGCTGACTTCTTCTTGGACATAGATCCTTCTGCGTCTCTCTTCATCTTTGAATTTATCTCTTAAACTTTCCTTCTTTGCTTGATTGAAGAATTTCTGCAATCTGCGGATTTTGTTGAACTTTATTCTTTGTTTGATAAAGGAATTCTTCCAATCTTTAGATCGCATGTTTAGGGTTCTGCGATTAGCAATGATATATATAAAGCGTTGTGATTTCCAATTTCTATAAAGTTTGAATCCGAAGGGGTTAAGGATTCGGAGAAACACTGGAAAAGGAAACTGTGCGCCTTACTGTCTTGGTTATCAGATGTCAGATATGGAAATTGATTCAAATTTGGCGGTGAGCCTGAAAAGGGCCCAAATAATACTTTGTCAAATGTGGCTTAGGCAAAATACAGTCACCAGAAACCAAGTCCGGAACCAAGTCTACTAGATTGGAGCTAAGTAAATTCCTAGATTGGAGAAAACAAAATGAGAAAAGAAAGCAGATCATCATTGTTCTTTTTTCTTTTTTCTTTTTTGAGCCATTGGCCTTCATATTATGGATTTGCATTCAATTGAGTGATTCCATGAATCTATCAATTGCACCAATTTATGACGACTAAAAATTATGAAAATAATGTAAATGAAGCGTAGGAGGGTTTTGGGTCTTTTCTTGCACATTTCCACGTCGTATTGTGTTACATAGTTTTTTAAAGTAACAAAGTGTTCCACCAAGAGAAATATTTTAAAATTTGAATTTTTATCCGTTATTGCATGAGACACATATCAATTAGATAAATAGTTTAACAAGAATATAATAAATAATAGTATAACGAAGGAACCTCTACCCTTCAGGAGATGGTACTTTTTGTAGAAACTTTAGTACATGTTATACCACAAAAAGAAAGAACTTTTTTCGAGTAGGCTTTGTCTGAAAAAGGTTGAACAGGACTCGAGTGTACAAATTTTTTAAAAATTAATATACTTTCTTATTAATGGATTGCGTTGATATAGCTGTAATAGTTATTATTCAATTAAATGTTAAGTTGTGTTTTTCGTTCCTTTTCTCTGTGCTGTAGATTAATGCCTTGAGAATGGGTTGGAATAGAGTATACGGAAGTTTGGAAGAGGCAATTAAACCAGAATTAACTATAAAACAGGTCTTTGCATAATTAATGCTTTTACAAATATCTCGAAATAATATTTCTTACTCCATTAAAACTTTTCCTATCAGAAATTAGCAGTGAGAATCCGGGTTCTGATATGAGTTCAGTGTTGCATGGATTGGACGATGAGTTTGGGGTACGGGGCTAACGAAGACAAGAGAAATAGGGGAATCTGTAAACCATTTGGCCTGACTCCTCAATGTGTTAATTCGTTTTTTTAATGAAGCTGCTTAGACTTCACTAAGAGACATGAAAACTTACCGAGTGTTGTTTTGATCGGTTAAGTAAATTGTTATCGCAATACAAAGGTGAATCTCTTTTCCAGATTTATTTTCTTTAGAATTCATCATATGCTAATTTCCATTTCAGATTTATTTTGTTTATGCTTTCCCACTACTTTCTTTACGAGTCACATGAATCAAGAATATATTTTATACTAAAGGCAAAACGAAGGGCTCTAGGAAATGTCTGGTGTTTTGGCTCAGCATCATCCAGCGGTAGCTAATGCCTTGATCGTATGATTGTTGGGTAACGTGTTCGATGGTGTGAGTGCAGCAAAGGGTGTATGTTCCAGGAAGGGAAAAGGAGAAGCAAACTGTTGAGCTGGAGGTCTGCAATCAGAGAATGTTCAAAACCGAATTGCGTAACAAATGGCAAGAGACCGGGGAATGTCCCTATGGAGAGAACTGCCAATTTGCTCATGGAATTAAGGAGCTGCGCCCTGTACTTCGCCACCCAAGGTACAAGACTGAGGTATGCCGCATGGAGTTGAACGGTGGACACCGATGATGAGGAGAAGCTTATCAAGTCCATGAACATCAGGCCCCTAAAGCTACTCAATCGTTAGGTCCATGATTATAACTCCCCTAAATGACGTTAGACAACTGCAAAAGTCTTGGCTGGTATGCAACGGTGTTTTTGTTCTTCAAAGTAAGCAATTCATTAATAGGCAATAAGGCTAAGGTCTACTGATGTGATAATACTAACTGCTTGATTAAAAAAAAAAAACTGTATGATCCGTAGTCAAGGAGATTAAAAGTAACATTTCTCGGCAGTGCACCTTTGATGAGTTACTGTGCATTGTTTGCAAACAAACACCTGGCTAACACCAATGCAAACCACTGCCACGGCCTAACCTTTCCCTGCTGACTTTTCCTGTTGGTTGAATAATTCTCTCTGCCCTCCAATTTTTCAAACTCATGCTCATTATAATAAAATACCAGGTCCTAGCTACCTGACGCATAGCGTCAGGGCAGAATACCTAGTAATAGTATAACGAAGGAACCTCTACCCTTCAGGAGATGGTACTTTTTGTAGAAATTTTAGTACATATTATACCACAAAAAGAAAGAACTTTTTTCGAGTAGGCTTTGTCTGAAAAAGGTTGAACAGGACTCGAGTGTACAAATTTTTTAAAAATTAATATACTTTCTCCGTTCCAAATTATTTATCGTATTTCGAGATTTCAACTTTTTAAAAATAGTGGCTTGATGGTGATGTTAGTATATTTGTTTTCAATGTTACCCTGAAAAATTCAAATTTCAATTTTGAATTTAGTATGAAATATAGATAAAATTTGGAATAACATTGAAAAATGAGATCAAAATAATTTTGACTTTGATAAGATTGACAAACATCTTGGGACATTTTAAAATAAAGGAAAAATGATCGGTTTCATCCTTCACATTTTACAATAATATTCTTTTCGTCCCTCACTTTTAAAACGAAGCAATTTCGTCCTTGACATTTAAAAACTGAAATTCTTACATCCCTGAACCCAAATTTCAATCTAAATCAAACCACCAATCAACCTGATTACAAATTTTGGAGGTGTAATTGGTAGATTACTTGATTACCTCAACTTGATATTCATGTAAAATTTAATGATTACCTCAACTTGATATTCATGTAAAATTTAATGAACCCAAAAAGAAAAAATAAAAAATTATAGCATAAAAAAGAAAGATTGATCTTTCCTACATTATCATTGTATACACTGACGGTTTTATGTACCGCCATATCATTTCAATTTAAATTTAAACACAAAAATTTATATTTATGATACACATCTAGATTCGTAAGCGGATATACTAACGGTGCATGAAAAGATTTACCAAAAAAAAAATTCTACTATTCCAAGACAAAGAATGGCCTTTTATGTTATAATTTTTATTTTTTTGGTTTAATAAATATCATGTGAATATGATGAAATTGACCGAGTGATCTATTAATTATATTTCCGAAATTTATTACTGGGTTATTGAATGATTTGATTCAGATTGAAAATTAGGTTCAGGGATGTAATAGCTTTAATTTTTAAATGCTAGGGACGAATTTGCTTCATTATAAAAGTGAGGGATGAAAAGAATATTTTTGTAAAATGTGAAGGATGAAACAGGTCATTTTCCCTAAAATAAAAAACATGACACTTTTAATAGGATTGAGGAAATAGAATGAAAAAATGGTTGATTATCAGAAGTACAATTATTGTGAAAGTGTGTGTTTCTATGCTAGCTGGCATGAGCAGATCAATTAATGCTTCTGGCAAAAAGAAAAATGCCAGTTTAAGGCATGGAATTTTTATTAAAAAAAAAAAATCCTTTTATACCGTTAATATGTGAATGTGACCTTGCCAACTTAAAAAAAAAATGTTACTTTTAGGTATTGAATTTTAGAATAATTTTATTTTCACACCAGCTAATTTTAGAATAATTTTAGGTATTCAATAAATGCATGTGGCTTATTGTAGTTTAACAACAGTTGTATAAATGAGTACGAAACATAATCCATCACTTTAATGATAACGACGAGTCCCAACTTAAATCTTTTAAGCATTGTTCTCCACTACTGCAATTTTTATACTACAAAAGAAATTTTTAGTTTAATCAGTTGTAGGACATTTGTGATTTCCTTAATACATTTTTCTGTTTCTTTTTTTTTTTTGTTAACTCTTTCACCCCTCCTCATACCATACCTTTTTCAATCAGTTGTAGGACATTTGTGATTTCCTTAATACATTTTTCTGTTTCTTTTTTTTTTTTTTTAATTCTTTCACCCCTCCTCACACCTAGAGTTGTTAGTCGAGTCGAATCGAGTCGAGTATCTGAATGCCGAGCTCGACTCATGAATAACTTGAGCCAGGCTCGAGCTCGCTCGACCGCATGGACTAGTCATGACGTGCGCCGAGCTCGACTCGAAAAATGGAAATGTGACGCGGGCTCGAACTCGAGCTCGAACTCGAAATATCTGTCCGAGCTTGAGGCTCGAGCTCAAAATATTTTCATCGCATACTATTCACTCTTACAGAGTCATGGGAAATTCTTGCAAAAATCGATCCAACTGGAAATCAGTTTAGGATTATGCATTATCGAGAACAAGAAAAATCAACTCATAATAATTTACCGAACTCCATAGGCAATCAAATACCAAACTTTGGAGTCTGACAATGATGAAAAAGCAAGGGCCGAAAAAAAAAAAACAAGGGCATTGATGATTGTCCTGAACAGAATTGGCTTAAGCTAACGAACCACAGATATGTTATCCACTCATCACATCTTCTTCATCGTCCAGAACGAGAAGCTCACACGTTCTTTCAACGCCATTTAAAGCCAAGGTGAAAGCTAGTTGGCAAGTTTTGAAAATCAAGATTCAGGGATTTTTATGACAATCTGCTGCTAGCACCACCGGAATAACGCGAGTGCTTGCTGCAAGCAACTGCAGTTGTCAAACAGAAGTGAAAGCGTTTGGAGGCCGCTCCTTCAGCCTGTATTATTGCTGATCACTTGGTAACCACCACAGCCCTGCATATTTCACAAGCCTTAATGATTATGATCAGATCTACTAGTAACGCTTGCAAATAAAGTGTCAGTAACTCAAATGGACAACAAGATGGCCTATTGGACGTCCAAGGTTTGTTGTTTTTGGCGGTGGCGGTGGACCGGTTGTTAATGGAAGAAAACAGAGGTGGTGGTGGATTAGTTGATTTTGGTGGAAAGCAAGGATAGCTGATGGTGGAAAGCAGGAAGGCCAACGATTGTTGGTGAGTTGGTGGATGTTGCTTTGTTGGAGTATTGTGCGGCGGAGAGGCAGAGGTTACTAGCTGTGGGGTGCAGCGGAGAGGCAGAGGCGGAGAAGAAGGATGAAACAATGCAATCGAACCCTAGTCCAAATTTCTACTCTTTGACCGCCAAAATAACAAATATGCCCTTCTTTATCGAGCTACTCGAACAACAATCTATTCGGACTTACTCGACTTGGTAACTAAACGAGCATATTTCAAGATCCAGCTCTAATGAATTTTCGAGCTACTCGTTTGGTTTAACAGCTCTACTCACACCATACCTTTCTCACCCATGACCCGTCTTCTAAGAGGCCTTCCTTGACCATGGGGTCAAAAAGAGAATAACCTTCATGCATGATAAATTGCAGACTCTAAACCATTTCCATGTAGGTTGTATGAGACAAATTTGTAAATGGACGCATAGATAATTTTCAATCCTAACCTAGCTGTTTTTTTCATTTTCTTTTTTCCTGTTTTCTTTCCCCCTCGTTCTCTTTTGGTTTAGTAAAAGGTTAATTGCTTTCAAAAAAAAAGGTAGCCATACCACAAATTCTATTGTTCAAAACTCTGAAAAATAACACTTGGGCGTACCAAAAAGGAATCTTGGGAGTGCTCTCAAATTTGATGTTGTCCAAAGGCATTAGAAATTAGCACGGTGATAATACTAATCAATTATCTCTTTGTATCTTCATTTAAGAGAATCAGATTTACAGTTTCAGATGGCAGCATAGCATCTTTTGCACCTTAGCAGCTAACAAGAGCAAGATAAATGATCATGATCATATAGTTGGCAATCCATTCTAAGAACCATTTACAAAATTATCTAACCCTAAAGTCCTTAATAGTAGTTGTAATGCTGATCTTCATAACCCCCCAAAAAATCATCCTCTTCATGAAAACCTCTAAATCATCAAGGGAATGATATTCATAGAACTCTAAATTGGATCTATCCAAATTAATCCCCCCAACATCCACTGACAGAGATCTCTCTCCAACATCTCCCACATGACGCACTAAAGATTTTCCGGGGAAGGTAGCCCTCAGGGGCGGAGGGAAGGGGGGACCAGGGGGGGCAACCGCCCCCCCTCCAATTGTTAAAAAAAAAAATTTCTAAGTAAAAAAATTTTTATTATATTGTTTTGCCCCCCCTCCAATTGTTATAAAAAAATTTCTAAGTAAAAAAAATTTTTCTTATATTGTTTTGCCCCCCCAAAATATTGATAAAAATTTTCATTTTGCCCCCTCCTAAGGGCCCAAATAATAATGTTTAAAAGTTATTTGAATTTTGTCCAAATAACAGAGACTCGCCCCCCTAATTGCAATTCCTAGCTCCGCCACTGGTAGCCCTGATTTTCTTCAACTCATGCCTAACCCTTGCAAGCCAATATTCCTGCATCCCAATTTGACCAAGTGGCTTCCTCAATTGTTTTTTCCTCCATAACCAAGACATCCCAAAGCTTCTTATTCTATACAAGCACCATCTTTTTATTTTCCTCCTCATCCATAATGCGGCTTTGCTTCCGCTCCTCCTCTTCCTCCACTTTCTTCTTTATCTCTGCCATTTGCCATCGCTTAAGCTCCCTCCGGCAGCACAATTGGGCTTCCTCCTGGGGCATCTTGGGGCAGGCTTCTTCATCAAGGTCCTCTGGAGATCCTTCTCTTCCCGCTCGGCTAACCTGAGAGTCATGGCTTC